CACAATATTTTTTAGGATTTCTTATGATAAACCTATGAAGCGCCGACACGCCATTCACACGGCATGTCGGACACGTGTCCGACACGGATACTCGTACGACACTCGTACAACACATCTCTGACACGTTTTTGAAGTGTCCAATAGAAGAAAAAAAATCAAATCGGAACGGACACAGGTATGACACTTTATTTTAAATATAGGACACGGTTCAACAAAAAATTCAGATTCTTAAAAAAAAAAAAAAAAAATCTCAAAAATTGTATTCGTTACCTTAAAAAATCAACACAATTATACTATACAATTAGGATTCCTTGTTTTTATCTTTGCCGCCATGCTCCGATCTCCACTCTTCAAAGGTTTTTTTATCTTCTTCTATTATAAATTTTTATTGACTACTGCTATATCCTATATGTCGCAATTCGCAAAATATGTGTGTATTTTCATTCATCGAGAGACACTGTGTGTGTATTTTCTTCCACGACATCACCATGTGTTAAGTATTAAGTAATTAGAAATTTAGACACAAAATTGCTAATTAGAAATTTAGAACAGAAAGTATTAAGTAAACATTTTGCTATACATTCTGCTAATTATCTTTTTATCTTTTTTGATTGAATGCTTCTACATATAATTTTGTGGGATGTTGCTGGAGATGAGTTTGGATCATTGGATGACAGTGGATTTCTTTAAGTTGCTAATTTTCCTTTGGATGAGCCAGGTTTAGAGGCTAGTTTTCTCAATATGGAGTGACTATGATATAATTTGTATCATTTTGTTTTGATGGATTTATGTCTTCTTTTTTTTATTGAAAGTACTAAGTTTAAATAAACAAAAAATTTGCTTCTCATTTTGAACTCTTGATAAATTGTACTCATAAATTGCGTTATTATATTAATATATAAAATATATATATATGTGTCCTATATTTTTTACATTAGCTTGTGTCCGTGTCCCGTATCCGAGCAGCATAGTGATAAACTAACTATAATACGAACCTCTTGAACGAATCTAATCAGGAATCAACACGAGGCGATAAACATTTCAAATTAATCCACATTGTATAAGATAAATTTCAACAGAAAAACCTAATAAATTGAATTCAAACCAAAATATGATGATAGTAAGGTTGCGTTACCGAGACACGTGTTTGATTCCGTCGGTAGAATTGGAAGCCGCGTTATCGGAATGCGAAGCCGGATCTTGAGCTTTGGCCTTGTTTTTGAAACTGGACCAATAACTACGGCAAATAGAAAAAGCAGAGAGCGCGGTAAAAGCTAACCATAACCGACGAGCACCGAATCCCGGCGGAACCGTCCATAGGAAGCGAAACTTGCTCCGGAGACCGATAAAGAGAAGTCCCGTCCACCGCGGCCGCCACGACCACCCGATCACTAACCCGATCATGACGGCAAGCCAAATCGGAACGGCGCATAGCAAAATGTCGACGAATGTTTCGGTTATCGAGGGTTTCTTCATGAACTCCATAACATCAAACAAATAATCATCCATTATAGTTCAACCGCGAAATTGAAATTAAAATCGAAATGAAATTGAAATTGAAATTGAAATTGAAATTGAAATGAAATTTAGATGATGTTGTTAATGATGAAGATGAAATTGGAAACCCCTTTGTACAGGACACACCTTACAACGAGTTTCATCTTTCATCCAAGGCAACACAACACGGGATAATAGATTTTGCTTTTCGAGTTAGAAGCGGTACACGTGGCGTGATGTATACCGTCGATGTAGTTGCATTGATTAGTAACTAAGATTTGTTGAGTTTGGCAGCTCAAGTCTTTGACCTTATCTGATTAATCCGAAATGTAAGTGTACAGTTGTTGAAGAAAGAAAGAGGATATATGTTTATTTGTTACGGTTGGTGATGCTTACATTACCTGTAAATTCTTTTTTATTTGAGTTTAATTAGTGCACTTGTAAATGATTTTTAGACACGTATAATACTTCTAAAAAATGAGTAATACTTGCTTGGCCACAACTCCAACACATAATTTCTTAATCACACTCATATAAAGTTATATATCATTTAAATATTTAAATATATATAATTATTTAATCATTTTCATTTTCTATTTTTTTTCTTTTAATGAGTGTGTGCTCAAACTCTGTGCCTAAATACTTGTCACCATACAAGACTTTCTCCTAAAACATATACTGAATTTTTAAATGTGAAATGGAGGAGACAATGTTTGAACATAAGATTGCGTACATATTATTTAATTCCTAGCAACTAGACACTATTGGTCATCATTTGAGAAATATTAACAAGTGTCTAAGGAACAAGTGGTTAAAATAGTAAATTTTTTTAAAATTACGTATAATAAATGTATTCAAAATTAAAATAATTAATTTTTATAAAAAATGTTTTTTATTTGATATCTTTAAAAAATGTCTTCAGAACACTCGTTAGCATGACCTATATTATTTTTATTGATTTATAATAAATAAAGTATAATTAAGTTGATAATTAAGCTTTTTTTTATGCGGAGAAGAATTCAAATATATTAATCTATTATTTATATTAATTGAAGATGGTTATTTTAGAATTAGAAAATACAAGAAAAATAAAGGAGTAAACTAACCATTAGAAAAAAGAAAAAAAAATGAGAAATTTTATTCTGTTTTTCTCAAATCAATTAAAAATAAAATAATACTTTTGAATTCGTTAATAGTTGGAATGAGCTAATTTTTGAACACAAGATTTGTGATATATAAGAATACACTTTCATCGTTCGGATAATTGAAATAAGTTATGAGCAGAGAGGGATATAGTGTTTGCATTGCATTAGGTTTTTGGAGTTTTTTTATCTTTTCATTCTCAAATAGTAAGCTTTTGTGCTTTGTTGTTTTGTCTGGTTGTTGGCACTATTTTTGTAACCTCATTTGATTATAGTGGAGCTAATTTTTTAGTCTGACGACCCATGATTTTTACTCTTACTATGAAAGATTTTCTACGTTAAAGATTTAGTGTTCTTTATTCGCTTTCAATTACTAATTTACTATATTTGTTACCATATATTTATTGTTACTCTTCAAAGATTCTTGCAAGTTGAAAATTTTATATTCACTATGTGTTGTTTGTTATTGTGTTTCGCATTAATCTATTATAAATCTATAAAAATCAAAGCACCGGGAAAAACCACGAATACCCATATGATTATTGAGAAACAAGTGTGAGTTCTAAAATTTCACATTGCTTAGAATAGTGAAGGTTGAACACTTTATAAGTGATAGGACCCGTACACCTATCACCTTGAAGTTTTGGGTGAATATGTGGTGTCTCTCTCATTTGTTTGGATGATTCTTTGATCTTTAGGTGAGTGTTTGGTCCAATGTGAATGCTTCCCCCTCATAATGTCCCAACAGTGGCATTAGAGCCTGGTTCGAGAAAGGGTCTGGCTCCTTGTATTGAAAGTCTTCCTAACACAATAGTGGTCAGGCAGCGTGTCCTGTTGTTGGGTCCATGACGAGATAAGGGTGTCTATCAACGGTAGTACAAGCACGTGGATGAAAGAGCTTCCACTTAAGGGGGAGCATAGTGGATAGACTCACACTTGAGGGGAAGATTATTGAGAAACAAGTGTGAGTTCTAAGTCTCACATTGCTTAGAATAATGAAGGTTGAACACTTTATAAGTGAGAGGACCCATACACCTATCACTTTAAGATTTTGGATAAATATTTGGTGTCTCTCTCATTTGATATTTAGATGAGTGTTTGGTTCAATGTGAATGCTTCCCTCTCATGATGTCCCAATACTAACTCAAAGTTCAATCTTTTCTTATTCCATGGACAAATATGGTTTTTCGTAAAACTATTATCACCACATGCATTTGGCAATTAATGCAGCCGAGGTGTCATCATATAACATTTTGATACATTTTTTATTTATTTTAATTCCAATATTTACTTGAACCATTCATGGAATGCATTTACTGAGGCCGTCGATTTTGAACAACGAGCATACATATTTTGTTCTTGGAATGAGATAGTCACGATTTATTATCTTGAAACTCTAAAACTCTAGGTTTACAACTCCCTTCCTCTTTTCCTTTTCTCTATATCTCTGCTTTCTCCCTAAATCCTCTCTTTCTTCCTCCACTGTTACAAATTGAACCAAACAATTCTCAAGATAAAGTTAAACACTCTCTCAATTTAACTCGCCCTCAAGCATATGATTGCAAATGGATAAAGGGAAAAGAAAGATACCTAAACCGACGATGAATGCAGAGACAAAATGGAAATAACAAAAGTGGTTATGTTTATGGCAGTCAGACGATTTGAAGATGACGATAGATCTAGCAGCGACACCTTTTGGTTGATTTCTTCATAAATCCATCTCTCTCACCTGACTCAAATAAAACAACAAACTTCCTTTCTATTAACATTTTTTGTTTCAATCGATTTTTGCTTCTCATATTGCCAAATTTGGTTTTTGTTTTCATGTTTTGGTTTCAATCTCTCTATTAACATTTTTTCTCTTAATTTTTTATTCAATTTATTGATGTTGAACCATTGTTTTGGAATCACATGAAATCTTCAAGAATCAAGAATCCACGTGTAGAGTCGTGAACGAGTAATGAAGTTTCTATTGGAATCTGAAACAGGAAGAATATGTTTTTTTATTTGATTTGTTTTTAGGTTTATATTCTAAAAGAATATGTTACATTATTTCTATTTCACCAGGTTGAGGTGATCCAGTTTTTAGATCTATTGAAATAGATCCAGAATATATAATTACAAAGGTAACATTCTAATTATTTTCAGGTAATTTTTAATTGTTTCTTCTTCTACCTTCACCTTTTTTGATTTTTGTAAAACCTAAATGAGTATGCTTCATTTTCCTAAAACCTAAACCAAACTTCTATAATCTTTCATTTCTTCTTTCTCCTAAAATGGCTTATTCAATTTCCATATCGTTTAGAGACGATCAGCAGGAAACATACCATTGTTGAGGCGCATCCGAAGGTTTATGAAAGCATGATTCGTGATGGTTGGGGTGAGAAGGAAAATGTTCAGATTATTTTTGGGTGCTGGAAAGATGTTTTGTCTCAGCTTGAAACAACGAGATTATTTTTGGTATATTTTGATGGATTTGGGATTTGAAACGAGTTAGGTCTTATTGAAATGGAATTAATGATGTAGAACATGTATTTGATGAAACCCCAACTATGTAAATTGTGGGATTTGTGATATTATTAAATATTAAATTGGTATGTTGATTCTATGAATTCCATTGATGTTTCTATGATTGCTTGAATATGTATGGATTAAATAACAGACTATTTTGTTTTGTGTGTACTGGTGTTGATGTTGGTTCATGCTTTGCAGGTACATGTTAGCTCATCACGTTGACTTTTGTTGATTCTTCTCTGTTTGGGAAGACATTAGAGTTAGATAATGGAGTTCAACATGATAGCCATGAGTTTTTTACGTGGCTTTTGTCGTGGATTGAGCGTTGTCTAAGTCATTCCAAAGTTTCGAAGGCGAGAACAATAGTTCAAGATCTTTTCCGCAGAAGTGTGTCTTATGTGACAACGTATGAATCATTGAATTTTAGCTATTAAACAATCATTTTCTCCATATAATATTAGTATTTTATATAGCCTGATATAGATTTTTCAAATATTATATAGATCCATATTAATATCTAACCCCTCTTACTACTACTAATACATGCAAGAAATATTCAAAAGCAAGCCTAAAGAACAATCACCAATAATGTAGAGTTACTGATCCATAATATGGTTGTTTGGTTACTATTGTCAGATCTTCCCACATAATGCGCATTGAGTATATTTTCTCAGAAGGGGTATTTTCATATTGCCAACATACATTTTGATTATATTTTGTAATAATAAGGATGTTAAATACTTTTTTCAATTATTTGCTGCACATTGTTTATTTTTGAAATATAATTCATGGAACTAGACTTTTTTTTCATAACTGGTCATAACTCAAAAGAAACTGTGGTAATTTATGTCAAACTGATCTAAATTATCTCTCTATTTACAATATAATTTTATATTAGATGTATGTGTGACCAGCAATATCTATGTATATAACTAATACACATCTCTTCTAATTATATGACTTATTTTGCAGGTGCTCGCAATGTGGAAGAGATTCTGAAACTTTTTCCAAAACGAAATATTTTTATGAGTTGGAGTTGAATGTCAAGGGATTAAAAAGTTTAGATGAGAGCCTGGATGATTACCTAACTGTTGAAGAGCTTCATGGAGACAATCAATATTTTTGTGAGTCATGCAACACAAGAGTTGATGTTACTCACAGCATCGAGTTGTGTACCTTACCTAATGTACTTAATTTTCAACTTAAACGTTGTGTCTTTCTTCTAAAGGTATTCTGATTGACTTCATAATTAATTTCCACAATTTTGTTATAATTATAATGGGAAGGATACTACTAAGTGGCATACTTTTGTTGTTGTTTACTCATCATAAGAAATAAAGGACTAAGTATTATATAAAAAGTAATGTGGCTTCAACATCACCATAAATAATACATGAATAAATAAATAGATGGATTAAAAAATTGCATTTCTAATTTACTATTGATTATCTTCACTTCACAAATGCGCTTCAAAAATCACTATAATGGTCTAATGGAACACCATTCATACATTAAATCCCTATACAATTATGTAACCCACGTTGGATGAGATATAACTTAAAAATATGTTTTTATAAGTTGTTGGTGGTCATTTTACAAACCGATTTTTGTGAGCTATGTTGGTCTAATTCCTTCTTGCGGCTTGGCAAATGCTGAAGAATTTAGGATGTTGATTGTATGCATAAATTGGGGTTTTTTAAGACCTTATATGGTGTACAATAATGGATGGAGATGGTTGAGTTTATGAACAGTTGTGGAATTTTTATTGAGTTAGCATTTTAAGTGAGATTAAAATCTACTTGATTTAATTAATTGTACTTTTGGATGATTGCTTCTTGATTTTCCAACTAATAATTGAAGTGTCCAAGTAAAAACAGAAGCCTATCTTTTTTATTTGTTGGCAAAAAACCCCGTTTGAATTACTGAGAACATGATGTCGCCTGACAATACTGATCCGTGCATGTGTGTTATGGTTGGTTTGGAGAAGCCTATCTTTTTCAATAAAACCTCACCTAATATTTCAGTTTCAAACTTATATTTTTTTGTTCCATTTATAATTTCCAACTGATATTTGATGGGATATTGTCATAAATTTTAGGTTTGTTAAAATTGACTAATATCTAAAAAGAAATTTTATTTGATTTTAAAATTAATTCATATGGATTCAACTGAGTTTTGTTAACTCATCTGGAATCATGGGTTGATGTGAATGTATCTATGAGATACAAGCTTTTAACTATTTCTTTTGTTTCTGCTATATATAATTGAATTTATAAAAATAGTTGTACGATTTATTATAAATACAAATAAATGCTTAAAAGTTGGCCGTGAAAAATATGTAATGTGAATTTTGGTTCAAAATTCTATTTGGTTCAAAATAGATTGAATTTTGGTTGAATTATATCAGCTTATCTTTGATATATATATACATAAAGGAACTTTACAAATCAAAATTAGATAAATGTGATGTGAATCTAGACGGGACCCGTGCGATAGCACGAGTTTTTTACTAGTTTCTATTAAAATGGAATCCTAATTCTTATTTAATGGTTGTTTTAACTTGATTGAATGATGGAGGTTGATAAGATGTGTAGTATTCTGCATCTTTTGTCTAACACATGTAACAAAAAGATAAAGGAAAAGTTTATCATAAATTCCAAATCAAATTGATATATGGGCCTTAGTGGAGTTATATACATGTAAAATTAAAAACTAACTAGCTAATGAGACGATAATAACTAACTAATGGGTTAAGTTAAATTTCTAACTTAGGAATAAAATAAAAAGTCATTCTTTAACACCCCCTCCCTCCCGACAAACTAGAATGTAGGGAAAACATACCAAATTTTGAAACAATATTAGTGAAAGGACCATAATGTAAAGTTTTGTGAAGACGATCACAAGTTGGTTGGCGAAATCGATAGGTTGAAGGAGGATAAATTTTTGTTGAACTTCGTCACAAACTCAGTGGAAGTTCATTTTAATGTACTTCTTACGCTCATGAAATACTAAATTGTTAGCAATGTGTATAGTACTTTGGTTGTTGCAAAATATGGTGATTGGTTTGTTGTGTAAACATGGAAGTATTGAAGAAGATACAAGAGCCATTAAGCTTCACATGAGGTGTTGGCCAAGGCTCTATACTCGGCTTTAGAAGAAGAACGTGAAACCACTCGTTGTTTTATGTATTTCCAGCTGATAATGGAGGAAACCAAGAAGAAATAAAAGTTGGTAGTTGATATGCGGGTGCGAGAGCATGATACCCAGTCCGAGTCAGCGAATATGGTTAGTGTTAAGTTGGAAGAGACTAGGAAGAAAAAACGGGTAACTAGAGAAGTCTTGAGATACTTGACAATTTGAAGTGCATATTGAAAATGTGTGGTGGTAGGCTTAGACATGAACTGGCTTAACCTACATACAGAAAAGTAATATCAGGTCTAGAATGGGTAAGGTAAATGAGCTTACCAATTAACTTTCAAAAAGGAGTAGGATCGGGAAGGAAGTTTTGGGGATTATCATGGATATCATGTGAGGGATCCATAGGTGTTGAGGATAGTTTCGTTAAGGGAATTGGTATCCTATAACAAATCAAGGACATATTTTCGTTGGCATATAGTTATGCCTTTGGAAGACTGAGCTATCTCAAAACCAAGAAAGTATTTTAGATCCCCCAAATATTTAATGCTTAATTGGTGATCTAAAACCGTTTTAACATGGTTTAAATTAGAAAGATCTGCAAGAATTAAATCATCTACATGAATCAAAATAGTGGTAAAAAAATAATTTGTATAGTTTATACATATGGAGAAGTTAACCTTAGATTAAATGAAACAAGGTCTAAAATGGAGGTGGTGAGCTTGTTGTTCCACTCTCTCCTAGCCTGTTTTAGACCATATACAAATTTTTTAAGCTTGAAGACAAGGTTTTTGTTGGTAGTGAGAAGACTTGGAGGAATTTTCATGTAAACCTCTTCATCCAAGTCGCCATAGAGAAAGGTTGTATTTATACCCAGTTGATGTAATAACCAACCTTTAGATGAAGTAAGAGAAAAAAGTGATATCAATGCAGTCATCTTAAGAATTGGGCTAAAAGTTTCATGATAATCTAGACATTATGTTTGGGTGAATCCTTTGGCAATTAAGTGTGCCTTGTAATTGTCAATTTTACCATTGGATAAGTACTTAAGTTTAAAAACTCACTTACACCCTATAGAATTCTTATTGTAAGTGGGGGTGATTAATTCCCAAGTGTTATTATTAATGAGGGCTCTTAATTCTAAGTCTACAAATTTTTTCCAATTTGGATTGGTGATGATTGTATTATAGGAGGTAGGTTCAGTTGTAGAAGAAATAGATAAGTTAACAATTTTATGATCAGACAGTAAATTATTATAATAAATGTAATTAGATATTGGGTAAATAGGGGTACTTGTAGGGAAGAATGTAGTATAGAAATACATGTGAGTAAGCTTGTTAAAATCTCGATTTAAAATCTAAACTCTATAGTTTTCCCATTTCTATGTCAACATTTCGTGTTAAATCGCGGGTAAGAACTTTTTTTTCTGTAAAATCATATCATATGAAAATTTTAAACAATTTAAATTACTATAAAATAGGTGAAATCATATAAATTGATAAAAACATTCTCAAATGAGGGATTAGTCATAAAAAAATTTAGATGCCTAAATTGTAGTTGGCAACCTAAAGTCACTGCAATTTGCGAATCTAGGGATTTAGCGACCATGGTCACACATACTCTCTTTGATAAATAACATGAACATGAAATGGAACTCAAAAGACTTGCAATAGATGAAGATAGAGAAAATAAAAAACAAGAGTCTAACACTTAAAGTTGAGGAATCTGATTCTGATGGTGACATGGCTCATATAGTAAAGAACTTCAAAACATTTATGAAACATGAGAAAAAGCAAAAGGAAGAGCAATAAAAAGATACAGAAAAAACACCATTCATTCCAACATGCTTCAATTGTCGAAATAAAGGAAACATCAAACCATATTGTAGGAGAAGATATAGTTTGTGTATGTCTCTAAATCAAGGAATAATAATGTATTCTTGTGTAATAGCTTCATAAGTTTAAAGTATAAGGATGAGACTTATATTTCAGAGGGTTAAATATACAACCCCCTGTAATATGCAAGATTTGTTTTTATCCCATGTCCAAAAAAACATTTAATCCCCCTTATCTTATTTAGATTCCGTCACAGACCCCCCAAATGCCAAGTGGCCTTGAAGATTCACCTATTTTTTCAAATTGTCTCCACGTGTATTAATAATTTAAACACATGGTATTTTATTATTTTTAAATGATTTATTACTAGGTATATATATTTCAAATACCCCCTTTCAATAGTTAGGGTTCATTTCCAGAAAACGTATCTGCGAAGAAGATGAAGCAACCCAGTGTGAAGATGAAGACAAATGTCCAACCGCTCATGCAACAGAGGAAGATGAAGACAAACACATAATCAAAGACATTGAAGCTTGTATTGTCTGAGGTAAGTGTATTTTTAAACTTCTTCACTGTTAATTGATAGTATTAGGGTCACTAGAAATGTCTATGTAACTGGGTATGATTTTTCTGAAATTTGAGTTTTTGTGTTATCTAAAACTAGGTATGCTTTCTTCACAGGATTTGCAACATTTTAACGTTACTTTTCACCATGGGGGTAAATTCATAAAGGTCAATCCAAATGAGATATAGAGGGGAGGGGGTTTGATTCAACTGTAATTGGGCTACACATTGTGAATTGCATAATGGATAGCATTGGCAAGTTGGTGAGTAGGTGGGGGCATAAGGAAGGTAGTTTTAGGTTATGGACAAAAATATTATAAATTCAAGATGGGTTTATTATGATAAGAAAAGATGATGATGCATACAATTTTGCTTCATATTTTTGTGTAATGACTATTGATGGAGATATATTTGTGGAACATTGCTACAAAACATGGATTTTGGGGATAGGGAACCTAAGTGTGTTAATGAGGTGAAAGAAATGGATGGGTTAAAAGATGAGGAGGTTAAAGGATTAGATGATAGTGAAGATGATAGAGTTACTGATATTGTTAATGGCTTTGAAGGAATTGATGTTACATTACCTATAAATGAAGATGCAAGTGTTGGTGGGTTTTTGTGTAGGCCCAATAAGAAAATGGATGAAGATGATTACTATAGTGATGAATTGAACAGTTATGGCCCAGATGAGTCTTGTGATGATGAAAGGCCCAAATATGAGAGATTTAGGAAAGAACACCTCAACAAGGATTATAAATTTAAGTGGGGTATGAAATTTAATTCACTTGTTGACTTTAGGGAGGCTATTTGTGAGTGGTCAATGCTAAATTGGAGGGAAATTAAATTTGTGAAAAATGAGAGTTATAGGGTAAGGGTAGAGTGCAAGCCTAAATGTGGGTTTTTAGTGTTATGCTCTAAAGTGGGTCACAACCACACCTTTTTTATAAAAACACTTGTAGATACCCACACATGTGCTAAGGTTTTGAACAACAAATCTACAATCTCAAAGTGGGTGGCCAAGCATGTGGTAAAGAGGATGCAAACATCTGAAATAATTAGGATAAGAGATATCATGCAAGACATAAGGCAAAAATTTTATGTGGGTATTAGTGTTGCAAGAGCATGGAGGGCTAAGTTGATAGCAAAGAAGATAATTGAAGGTGATGCTGATAATCACCTTCTTCCCGTCTATAAATAATCCAGTCTTTTCTTTAAAATCATTACTTTACTATTTACGAAGTTAGATTGAAATAATATTTGTCTAAAAGAATGAAGATGTTGTCGAAAATATTCTTCGCTTTAGGAATAGAAGTCTTGAATGAGAACACATGTACTTAGGATCAATCTGGTCGATCCTACAAGTTACCGACTTTTATTCAATTTGGAAGACCAGCGGTTGTTTACCCAATTTCACGATAAACAAATTGGCACGCCCAGTGGGACTTGGGTTCAATTTTTATGTTATTTTTCTATTCCAAATAATTTTTTTTTTGAAAATCTTCATTATCTTTCTGTATTTTTCTGCGTTGTATGAGAATTAGGAGTGGTAATTTAGCCGCAAACAACAAAGAAATACCCAAAAGAAAGTACGTCAGGAAAATGGCGAATCCAGGCCAGGAAAGTAATCAAAATCCTCTTAACAATGATGAAGTACCACCCCCAGTCACTTCAACAAGAGGAAATATGATTTTTGCGCCTTCTTCTATGGAAGGCGTTCCAGGATTACGACCAACTGGTTGGACTAGCGAAGACATTGACCATGTCTGAGTCCAATTTTTTTGGAAATATTTCGGCTTATCTAGCCAAAAACAAACTAAGAGCAGCTTTAGAAGTCGAAGTAAAATATATGGTTGTTGAAGCCAAAGATGACGTTGTCCATGAGAAGGGTCTTGGGGTGCACTTAAAACCAAAACCCCCAGACGAAGAACCACATTTCGAAGGGAAATATTGATGGCTAGATGTAATCTATGATTAAGAGCCTTTAGGATTCGAGAAAGATCCTGCAGTAACAAATGCAAAGATGAGGGTGCAAGATCCACTCAAAAAAATTGATCTAGGTGATGGGTCCATCAAAAGACCCGCGTATGTTAGTGCTAAGCTAAGCCCATGAGTAAAAGCAAAAGTAATCCAATTACTAAAAGAATACAAGGATTGTTACGCTTAGGACTACAATGAAATGCCTGGTTTAAGTAGAGACTTGGTCGAACTAAAGCTGCCTATCAAGGATGGCAAGAAGCCCATCAAGCAGGCTCCCAGGAGGTTTGTTCCAGAAGTGCTCTCAAATATTAAGGAAGGGATCGAAAGACTCCTCTGTTGCAAGTTCATCCGGGCCACAAGGTATGTCGAATGGATTAAAAACATAGTTCATGTTATTAAGAAAAATGGGTCTTTGGGGGTGTGTATAGATTTTCGAAATTTAGATGTAGCAACCCCTAAAGATGAATATTCAATGCATGTGGCAGAAATGCTAATTAATTCAGCTGTAGGTTTCGAGTATCTTAGTATGCTTGATGGTATTCTAGATATAATCAGATTTTTATTGTTGAATAAGATATACCTAAAATAGCTTTTCGATGCCCTCAGGCACTAGGCACCTATGAATGGGTGGTCATGCCTTTTAGCTTAAAAATGTTGGGGAAACTTATCAAAGGGCAATGAACTTAATATTCATGATTTCATCGAAACATTTATGCAGGTTTATATTGATGACATAGTAATAAAATTTGTGTCAGAAGAAAGTCACATGAATCACCTTTGCCAATCGTTTGAAAGAATGAGGAAACATGGCTTGAAGATGAATCCCCTCAAATGTGCTTTTTATGTGCAGGCTGGAGATATTTTGGGCTTTGTGGTCCACAAGAAGGGTATAGAGCTTAATAAAAAAATGAAAGCTATTATGGAGACTAAGACACCAACAACAAAGAAAGAATTACAATCACTGCTTGGAAAGACAAACTTCTTGAGACTATTCATTTCAAACTTGAGTGGGCATACTCAGGCTTTCTCTCCTATTCTGCGCTTAAAACAAGGAGAATTCAAATGGAAGCAAGAACATCAAGAAACGTTTGATAAGATAAAGAAATACCTTGTCAACCCTCCTATACTACTACCTCATTGTAGAAATAAGTGCATGAGATTGTATATTTATGTGTCTAATGCAACTATAGGTAGTATGCTTACACAGGAGGACGAGAATGGTTTCAAAAGAGTCATTTATTACCTCAGTCGAGTATTAAACGATGCAGAAACTAGATATAATACTATAGAAAAATTATGTCTTTGCTTGTACTTCTCATGTTCCAAATTGAAATATTATATAAAACCCGTAGATGTGTATGTTTATTCTTATTTCAATGTCATCAAACATATGCTTTCTAAGCCAATTTTGCACGGTCGAATTGGAACATGGGCACTTGCCTTAACTGAGTATTCCTTGACTTTATTACCTTTAAAAGACATGAAAGGGCAAGTGGTCTCTGATTTTAAAGTTGACCATGCGATGGTAAAAGTTCCCCAAGATTATGTGGAACTGGAACCTTGGAAACTATTTTTTGATGTTTCAACCCATAAAGAAGGAACTGGTGTTGGAATCTTGATTATTTCTCCTGATAAAATTCCAACCAAGTTCAAGTACAAAATCAAAGTTCCTCCTTGTTCGAATAACGAGGCTGAATATGAAGCTTTGATAGCAGAGCTTGAAGCTTTGTTGGAATTGGGGGAAACTAGAGTCGAAATAAGAGGTGATTTCGAACTGGTGATCAAACAGATAACCAAAGAGTACAAATGTATAAAAGAAAATATAATCATGTACTTCGTGGTGGCAAATATACTGCTTAGAAAGTTTGAGTATGTTGACATTAAACATATTCCTAGACTAAGAAATAAAATTAATCAATAAAGTATTTTTAGGTTTTTTAGAAAAGGTTTTAAGTTTAATCAAAATAGTATAGAAATTAATTAATTAAAAGAGAACCTAAATTCTAAGTTAATTTTAATTTAAAAAAAAACTAAACCTAAATCTAATCATGAAATTAAGTTTTTATAAGAAAAATATTTTGTCTTTTTGTATTGAAAAATAAAATAAGTATATAGTACAATAAATAAAATATTTTTGTCTTTTTTATTAATAATATTAATATTAATATTAATATTAATGATAATAAAAATAAAGAAAATGAAAATAAAATAAAAATATAAAAATGAGGTTAGGGGGTGTAAAACAGTTTAGGGTATAGTATTTAATGTAAAACAGATTTGATGTTTTTTGTCTGACCCATTAGTGTTTTTGTAAACATAAACATAAATATATATTACAAATCCATTCCTAGAAATGAACTTCATCTTCAACCTCCAGCCAGGGTCCCTGTATCTCATTCATTTCTTATCCATTCTCAAAACTTCCAACATCAAACTTGTTAGAAATTTTACCAGGATTTCAGAAATGTAAACAATTTGGACTAACAATCAAAGATGAACATGTATTTCTAAAAGTAACAAATCCTGACCTAACTTTTTTCAGAGATTCAAACTTAAAATTCTCTAAGCTCATGCAATATAAATGAAAACTATGGATATGTACAACTTCAGGGCAATGATATCTACATTTTGTCTTTGAAAATGAAAGCCTAACAATGCCTAAATAAAGAGATAAAAGTTCAGAAAAATACCTCAAGAACTGGAAATCGTGAAATGAGTTTGAGATGCTTTCAAAGAGTTGTGATGACCAGGTTAGCTTCCTTGGACCTATAGGAAGCTAATGCAATACTTAGCTTGAGCTATGGATGGCTGGAATGGTCTAGAGAAGTCAAGTTGCAGACCTTTGTTTTTGGTTATGGAGGATGGTGATGGATATGTTACAGTTCCAAAACAAGGACAGGGA